CTTTCAAATCGCCAAGCACCACCTCGAACCCAAGGCCGATTACGACGCCAGCTTGGTTTCTGGCGGTGAGGTAAATGTTGCCCAGTGGTCCTCAGTCATGTCGCCATGGCAGGCAGCTCATTGCTGTCGTGGGCGTGGGTTGTGCGTGCCGTGTCGTGTCGTGCGCCACGGGTTTCGTGTGACGTTGTGACATCAGGGTATTGTGTACGACGTGTGGAAGGAGTTGCCCGACGAGCTTCCCCAATGCACTGAAGCCGAGGTCGCTGTCGACGCCGCTTCGACCACCCATGGCGAACTCCAGGCGGCAGAGCCCCTGGACATCTCCCTCTCGCACGGCGCTCAAGGTGCGCGCACACGAACTGTCACGTCTTTATGTGTTTGCCGCTCGGCGACTGACCCTGCATTCAGGACAATTCTTTGTGTGTGGCTCTGTCGCTCCACGCCAGCGAAATGCCGAGGCGGTGAGCACCGTCGAGTCGCAGCTGGACCAACTCTTTGCCGCCATAAAGGGTATGTAGCCCAACGTCTTGGATTTATCACACACACACACACGCACACACACACACATTTTGTTTGTTTAACGTGGCGGTGGCGGACGTGTGCAGCTCGTTTGGAGGAGGCGTCGTTGGCGATGGCGGACGTGTGCTTCGTGTGCGTCTACCTGCGCGACATGAGTCTCTTCGTACGCTGCAACGGCGTCTACCGCCGCCACTTTGGCGCCAACCCGCCCTCACGGTACGAACAGACACTCGGGCCATTACTTGTTGTAGTGGTTGTGGTTGTTCATTCCCCTCTGCGCGCGCAGGTTGTGCGTCCAAATGCCGCTCGACGCCGACGTCCACATACTACTCGAGTGCTTCGGGCAGCAGAGGCACCCGCAGGTACGCAGCTTTCCTCGGCGCCTCAGCAGTCTCAGCAATAGCGACTGATCTGTGAACCCGACGACGAGCGCACCAGGTCGAGGAGGAGCGTCGGCGGCGACGCGTGCTGCACGTACAGAGCATCTCGCGTTGGGCTCCGGCCTGCATCGGACCCTACAGCCAAGCCACGGCGCTCAACGGGCTCGTCCACCTCGCTGGCCAGATCGGGTACAACGCAGCCGCCCTTCAGGTCGCTATTGAAGACATTGCGTTGACCTGACATGAGTGCGCAGGCTCGACCCGGCTACGATGAAGCTGGTGGGATCCGACGAAGCGTCGCCCATCGAGGACCGCATCAAGGAGCAGACTCTCCTGTGCTTCCACAACATTGACCAGGTTGACACGACACACACGGCAAACGGCACGCTTGGCCGCCATCGACTGACTGTGTGCCGTGTGCGCAGGTATTGCGGGTAATGCAGTCGTCCGTGGCGCGGATTGTGGTCGGCACGTGCTTTCTGCTCGACATGGCCCACCGCGATCACATCCTCGACCTCTGGCGCCAGTGGTTCAACCGCCATCGAGCCTCTCAAGGTACACACACACACACACAAAACATCTTCTGACGTGTGCGTGCTGTGGTGCGTGTCGTCCCACTCAAATGCATGCACAGGGAGAGCGAAGGCGACTGCCCGTAGCAGACCTTCATCGGGTCTCGGCCCGGACAGCGAGAGCGAGGAAGAGGAGCAAGGTGAAGATGAAGGAGACGATGACGATGAAATCTATGACGCGACACACGTAGTCGAGCCGCTCGTGCGCTTCGTTGCTGTGGGCGCTCTGCCCAAGGGCGCCGCGGTCGAGTTCCAAGTCGTCGCCGCCACCGCAGAGACAGACCCGGTCGAACTACGGCGACTCCCAGCGGCTGCCGCGGCCGCTAGTAGCGACAACGGCGACCGCGCACCGCTGGCCGTGGAAGGCGTGTGGTCCCCCACGGCCGGCTTCTGCTTCGCCCAAGTAAAGCTCACCGAAGGCACGTCTTTTATCCCGCAACGCCCGCGCCCGCGCCCACGCAGTGCCACGCACACGTGACGCCCTCGCTACTCAACGCCACCCGAGTTGCTGATTTGGAGTAATGGCCAGGAGAGAGCGTGGCCGAGGCGGCGCAAGCAATTCGGCGGGCCGTGCAGGCGACTGACCCGCAGCTCTGGGACCGACACCTCCTGTTCCGACTGTATCGCCGCTCCTTGTCACCTGACAATGTCTCAGGTACGCACGCTTCGTTTTTACGCTTCTATGGTTCGTTCTCGTTTTCGTTCTTTGTCGCGGTTCGCTTTGTCCTTTTCGGGTGCTGGTACGTGAATTAACTCCTGGCTTTAGTTGACGAATCAGAGCTGGGCCGCGGTATATCAGTTTCCACCATTCCCGTGGCAGGGTTGGAGAGTGTGGGCCAGGCAGCGCTGCTCGAGTGTGTCGTTCTGCCGCCGCTTGCGGACAGGACCAAGGACAGAGACGACTGAGAAGAAGGGCGAGCAGAGCCGCGCTAGGTGACACACCACGACCAGCAACAACCCCAAACATATTCCACCGCAGGATTCACAACACACACACGCACGGCATCAATGCAAGAAGCACCGCACGCCACCCACCGTGAACTGTGCATCAGGGTGAGGCCTTTTGATGTTGTTCACTTTATCATCGTTGGCTCAACCATGTGAGCGCTCTTTCACCTCCAGATGATGCAGACGAGCGCGCAGCTACAGAGCAATCTGGTCGACTATCTCGCGCTTCACCAGGCCGCGACTGACTCTTCTTCGGCTGAGGGCGGCCCGCACTCCCACGCAGCGGCGAGCTACCAGACCCTAATGGCACTCAGCCGCGAGATGTCCCACATCATGGAAAGCATGTGGCGTACGGCTCGCTCGTCCACCGCCTCCCCCACCCCCACCTCCACCTCGTAGTAGAGATGGATCCGCCCAGCCACCCCTTGACAGGCCTATTTTTGAGGCCGCTTCCTAAGTAAATAGGCCTTTCCCACTTTCTCACTTTCTTCACTTCGGCTGCTCTTCCACTCAATTTCAAGTGGTGCTTCCACCGCGCCCGCCTTGGCTGACGGCGACGATAACGTCAGATGGAGGCGATGGATGTGAGACACAAGTCGACTCTCGTTCCGAGTCCCATGGACTTTCACGTGAGGCGGGAGAAGTACCGGGCCATGCTTCAACTGGGCGACCGCTTGGCCCAGGCGCCCGAGGCGAGGAGTTCTTTGCCCCCCCAATTCACCAAATTTGGATATATTTTTTTCATGCAACATTTCGATTGAGGTGACTGATCATTTATAAATTGATCTACAAAACACGTGGAGAAAAGGCACGATCAAAGTGGAACACCGGTATGAGTGTGCAGGCTAACTGATTGGACAAATAGCAGTGCAGAGGAAAGGAAAGTTGTTCATATTCGGAACACAATATTAAAATAATAATAATAGCATAAAAAACAACATCTGCTTCGTGGTGGCCCAGTTTGCGCAGTTGGGTGCTGGTGTGATTGGTCGCTACGGGCGCTCTGCCCAAGGGCGAGTTCCAAGTTGTCGGTGCAGAGACCGGCCCCGCCGAACTGCAGTGACTCCCAACGGCTGCCATGGCCGACAATGGCGACCGGGCACCTCTGGCCGTGGAAGGTCTTCCTTCCCCCACGGCCGGCTTCTGCTTCGACTATCTCGGCCTTCAGCAGGCCAACTTGGCTGAAAACGTCAGATGGAGGCGGTGGATGTGAGACACACCACAGTCAACGGCTGTCGCAGCTGAACAGGTGCGCTCCAGGCGGAGATGCAGGCCCACCGAGCATAAACACCGCCCTTCAGGCCTGGCAGCACAGCCTCACTCAAGAAGCCAGGCGGGAGAAGTACCGGGCCATGCATGCTTCAACTGGGCGACTGCTGGACCCCGGTGTCACTCGACCTCCACTTCCGCCATGCCCGTGGTGTGCAGCTTGCCTGGCCCGCCCGGCAAGTTGGAGGGCTTTTTGGTACACGCGAGGTAAAATCCTGGTTTTAGCAGCCAATTTTTGACGTTGGGCTCTGTTCTAGGTCGCTCCGAAGACACCCATGAATCCACATTCTTGAGAATCGGAATCCCAAACTACCAATTTTAGTCTCGTGTGTAGACTGTGATGGTCGTTGGCTCCCTAGACCAATTGGTCGTGGCACCCTTTCCAACAACGCTGGGCACCGCAAAAGGTACGCTACACCCTAAATTTGGTAAATGACCGGCCAAAATGCGGAGGATTGCGAAATTTCAGGCAGACCAGTTATTATTATAATAATAATAGCTGCTAGGGCCGTCTTTGTTCAACTTCACTTCTCTTGCGATCCGACCCTTACACCAACCTCAACACCAACGCCACCACGATGGCCACGCCTACGACTACGACCACCAACGCACGCCACGGTCAGGAGCAGCACACTCTGCTGCCGATGCGGCAAGAGCCCTTCTTCCCTCTTGCAAGCCAGAAGGAGCTCTACACCGAGGTACGCCAATCGTTCATGCATCTTCCACTTTGTTGATTCAAGAAGAGTAGAAGATGATGCCTGAACAACAAAGCTCTTGTCATATCAACAGATGGACAGATGTGCAGCGCTCCTGAGGATCGAGACCCAGGAACTTGCCTCCTTGAGCGAGGCCCAAAGCACCGCCGTCACGCACAACGCACAGGAGCTCTACGTGGCGATGGTGCAACTGGCCAACCACCTTCACCAGGTCACCCACGACCTCCACCACCACCACCAGCGATACTGCCGTCTCGGCAAGGCCACCACCAGCTGCTCAGCAGCTTTGGCCCTGACC